TTAAGGGAAATTTATACAGTAATGGGTTATTATTATTATTATTATTATTATTATTATTATTTCATTTGATTTCTGTTGTATACGCATTTCCTTCCGGGACCCAACCAGAGACATAAGATTAAAAATGGTACATGACATTTTTAACTGAACATTAAAACAAAACCCAAAAAATAGAGAATCTAAGATCACACACATTTTACGCAGATAAAGTTCTTCGTCATATGCAAGCTGTACTTATGAGTACAATTTTTTCTATTACTTTAAGGCATGGGGTGCCAGAAATTTCTTTAATGAGTCTATCGGAACAATTTTGAAGTGTTAAAAGTCTTTTTCCAGTTGTGTTGTCTTCTTTTAATCTGATGTCGGCAAAATATACAATATTTTTATAGGAAAAAAAAGATAGCCTAATTTTGAACAGCATGAGTCTTTGATATTAAGAACAGAATTAATGCAAGTGGGATTATTGATGTCTTCATGCGTCACATTTTTGAGATATTCACTTCAAGATACTTTTATTTTTATGTTATTATTGAATATATGATAAACCCTTTCATCAAGAGGAAGTCACTCTGTCCCGAACTAAGCTAGTAAATTAGTTTTGAAAGTGGTACGCAACCTTCAATTTTTAGGCGATACTTAGAAATCCACAGAGTTTCCCCAAAGTTTTGGACTATAGTGTATATTAATACCTATTTTGGACTATAGTGTATATTAATACCTATTTTGGACTATAGTGTATATTAATACCTATTTTGGACTATAGTGTATATCAATACCTATTTTGGAATATAGTGTATATTAATACCTATTGCAACAAATTTTCTTTATGTTATTCCCATTGTTTTCTTCCCTTTGAAGTTAATATTTATCACATCTAAAAGTCAATAAACCCCATTTAAGGGATACTACACTTTTTCAATTGTTTCCCTTTCTATGGATTTCTAATCGATATTCGATAATAGTAGCTGCCTATTTAATCCTGAACTTGGCTTATAACTGAGGATTTAATGCTGGTGTCCAACAGTATTACATTTGATTGATTAACGATTATATTCAAAGACAAAAAACATCACAATGAAACATGTTTTGCAAACTTAGCCAAATAATCTAAAATGAATACCTAGGAGGTAAAATGTTCGTTACTTTATATTATTTTAAAAAATAAAAATACTGACTTTAAAGACAAGACATTCTAACGATATTGAATTTTTTTCCGGTTGTGTCGTCTAATTTTAACCTGATATAGGCAAAAATATACAGTATTTTTATAGAAAAAAAAGGCATTAGTCTTTGATATCAAGAAAAAAACTAAAACAAATAATTCAAGTATTAGAAATGAGATGCGTCAGGACCATCAGCGGTATCTCCTACGTAGACCAAATGAGATGCGTCAGGACCATCAGCGGTATCTCCTACGTAGACCAAATGAGATACATCAGGACCATCAGCGGTATCTCCTACGTAGACCAAATAAGATACATTAGGACAATCAGCGGCATCTCCTAACTAGACCAAATGAGATGCGTTAGGACCATCAGCGGTATCTCCTACGTAGACCAAATGAGATATATCAGGACCATCAGCGGTATCTCCTACGTAAACCAAATGAGATACATCAGGACCATCAGCGGTATCTCCTACGTAGACCAAATGAGATACATCAGGACCATCAGCAGTATCTCCTACGTAGACCAAATGAGATACATCAGGACCATCAGCGGTATCTCCTTCGTAGACAAAATGAGATGCGTCAGGACGATCAGCGGTATCTCCTACGTAGACCAAATGAGATGCATCAGGACCATCCGCGGTATCTCCTTCGTAGAAAAATGAGATGCGTCAGGACGATCAGCGGTATCTCCTACGTAGACCAAATGAGATGCATCAGGACCATCCGCGGTATCTCCTTCGTAGACAAAATGAGATGCGTCAGGACCATCAGCGGTATCTCCTACGTAGACCAAATGAGATGCATCAGGACCATCCGCGGTATCTCCTTCGTAGACAAAATGAGATGCGTCAGGACGATCAGCGGTATCTCCTACGTAGACCAAATGAGATGCATCAGGACCATCCGCGGTATCTCCTTCGTAGAAAAATGAGATGCGTCAGGACGATCAGCGGTATCTCCTACGTAGACCAAATGAGATGCGTCTGGACCATCATCAGTATTTTCTACCTAGACCAAATGAGATACATCAACACCATCAGCGGTATTTCTTACATAAACCAAATGGGATGCGTCACGACCATCAGCGGTATCTCCTTCGTAGACAAAATGAGATACATCAGGACCATCAGCGGTATCTCCTACGTAGACCAAATGACATGCGTCAGGACCATCAGCGGTAACTCCTACGTAAACCAAATGAGATACATGAGGACAATCAGCCGTATTTCCTACGTAGACCAAATGGGATACATCAGGACCATCCGCGGTATCTCCTTCGTAGACAAAATGAGATGCGTCATGACCATCAGCGGTATCTCCAACGTAGACCAAATGAGATGCATCAGGACCATCAGCAGTATCTCCTACGTAGACCAAATGAGATGCCTCACGACCATCAGCGGTATCATCTACGTAGACCAAATTAGATACGTCAGGACTATCAGCGGTATCTCCTACGTAGACCAAATGCGATACATCAGGACCATCAGCGGTATCTCCTACGTAGACCAAAAGGAGATGCATCAGAACCATCAGCAGTATCTCCTACGTAGACCAATTGTGATACGTCAGGACCATCAGCAGTGTCTCCTACGTAGACCAAATGAGATGCAACAAGACAATCAGCGGTATCTCCTACGTAGACCAAATGAGATGCGTCCGGACCATCGGTGGTATCACCTACGTAGCCAGCGTAAGAAATTACGTAATGGTAGATACCGTCAAACTAGAAACCGGCCCATTGGAAGACATTGTAACTACCATCAAGGATAAAAATTTAAATAGATAGTATGGACACTTCATAAAAGTCAACAATCTTTCCATTACCATCCTACAAGGTACCACCTTAAGAAGGAGGGGCCGACAGAGATAAAAATGGACTGACAATATCATGGAGTGGACTGGAAGATCATTCACACAGAAACATGCATTGGCACGCTATCGAGACATATGATGGCGGCGGACTGTCACGCTCACACCAGATGATGATGATGAATCAAGGAAGACTAGTCTCGTTTTGGGAAGAGAGCAGAAATCCGTCACAGAGTAAAATGACAATATTATCTCAGATGGTGTGCCAGATTAAGATAAGGAATAGCAAACTAGACATTTAAAATAACCGCGCTACTAAATTTTGAATTTGCTTTCTTCGCGTCAGTAATCTAATTTAGTCTAGCTTATTTTAAAAAGGAGCAGCAATGTCACAAGAATCCCAATTAATAAAAGATTGTATCGTTGTGTATATAAATGTAGCGATTCCAGTAGCCAGTGAATTTTGGTCTCTATTTTCTCTCTGAATATATGTAAACAATATTTTACTTTGTTTTGTTGTGCCAATTAAAAGGCAAACTCTTCACTTGCCTTCTCAACATTCATGCGAGATAATGACATTGTTGTGTCTAAATCCCTTCCTATTCTTCAGTTGGGAAGCATTTCACTTTGCCGATCGTGTGACCATTAAAGGCCAGTCAGTGAAGCCCAGTCTTTACAGACGAGAGTTTTTAGTTAAACACAGTGAAGAGATGTTTTCCTGACACAAGGGCAAAACACTGTCCCTTGTAATATATTGTACTAGGCTTGTGAGCAAATACGGCATTTGTACCATCCAAAAAGAGAGAATGTCACTAAAAGATTTCTATTCTTTAACATGTTATCTTTCTATAAATCAAAACCTTCATTTACGTTCTTCCAAATTCTCCCTCGTTGTCTTTATTTCAAATATTTGGGTAAATATCTGTATCGTCGCCTCACACACATTATTTGGTAAACACAATAACGTGTCAAGAGGATGCACCTTATTCCTGACAGTTTTGTTATGCCTATTAAGTCCTTTGTAAAAGAAAATATTCATAAATAGGCAGAAAAGACATATACAAATCGTTGGTAACTCGAAGAAAAACATATTGTTCACTATTCCAGTGGAGTAATGGATAGCGGCTCGGATTGAGGAATCGGAGAACCGAGTTCGAATTCCAGTCGAATCCATTACATTCACTTACGTGATTACCTTGGGAAAGGTATGCATCCTCCTCTTCTCCCAGCTATGGGTAAATAGCAGGAAAGACCGGGTTCTGTAGCTGAAAGAAATGGAAACCTACTGCGGAAAAAATCTGCCTCGTATCGAAAGATACATGATCGCCTAAGCGTGTATCACGCACGGCACATAACTGACTGATTCTAGTTCAGGTTAGATGAAGGTTTTCAATTATTGATAAACGAGGATGCGCTGAAAAGTTTTCGTTCCGACCAAGAAGCCCTTCTGGTCATTTGGTCAGATATTGGGAAATGAGTTGGGTCGATATTTTTCAGTGCCCCAACTGTCAAGGCAAACAGGTCATTCACAACTACATGATCTTACTAACACAATGTCTCAGTCATTATTATGTGCTAAATATTGTCAGTATCGTAGACGAAACATTTGTTAGCGACATCCTAGCATTTTTTGAAAAGTTACATACAGATTTAAATATGTGTGTATCTCATTGATAACGTCATGTATAGAACAGTATCACGGAGTTTGACAACAGCAGAAATGTGCATATTAAATATTTTATATGTATTATAATTATTTTATTTATTGATAGATTTGTTTTTACGACGATATCAACCTTTTAAGGTTTTTTAAAAGTAAGAAATATTTTTAGATTGTAAGAATTTTTTAGTGATATTAAAGATTTATTTACACAAATCCTACTAATTAACCCATAGCTGGGGGAGAGGAGGTGGATTCATACCTTTCCCACTGGTATTTGTGCGTAAGCGATTACAACGAACCAGACTGGAATTGTTTTTTTTAATTTGTTATCTATTACACTACCGTACATCTAAGCATACATCACAAGGTATTCCTGAGCGCTCACCAATCTAGGTATTAACCAAGCTCGACGTTGCTTAACTTCTGTAATCGTACAAGAACCGGTGTTTCAAAATGATATGACCGTAAGCCTATAATTATTTTATATACACGTCATACCACTTACATGGAGTCAACACCTCCCCTATTCATTTCTTCCGTGTTCCAAATATAAAAAGAAAGTTCCACTGAAATTAAATTTATTAAGTCATTTGCAAAGGAAAAGCTTAAAAAAATAAATAGTGGGGAACTTTTCAGATCAACGATAACTTCAAGACACCAAACTTGACAATATCTTCGCTTGCCAATTAAAAAGTGCCAGGATATCACTAAGAGACTCTTGCAAGATACTTAATTCTGAATTAAATTCTTCTCTTCGTAATCTACTGGCAAAAACAACTTAACGAATTCCCTATTGAAAGGTGTAATAACGTATTTATTCTAAAGGCAGCTTAAAAAGTTTTGGCTTACTCGAGTTACATTGAGAAAATTGAATCCGTGATGCAATTTTTTCTTTCTTATTTCTTATAATTTCACGAGTATTTTTAGGTACAGTAAGCGACTTTTTCTCTCTTCTGAATTCACAAGATAAAAATACTGTTTCCCGAAGAATATTTTGAAGTAATAAATATATGATTTTTATTGGAAATTGGCTCGTCAGTATAAAGTAAATCATATGAAGAATGAACAAAAAAAAGCTAAAATGAAATAATGTTATCAAAATCTGGGCTATGAAGGCGGCGAAAGAATTTGTTGATGTATATTTTGAAGCATACAGGTTGGTTAGGGTTCAATACGCACCAGAATATGTTCAAAGCCACTATCGCTTTGGAAGTGGTTTTACCAGAATGGACAAAATCTGTAATACGGACTCAATAAAACCGACTTATAGTCCTTTTGGTCCAAAGATCGTCAGTGTTAGTTGCTTTGGTTTGAAGATTCATGGTGATAGTCACTTTGGTCCGAAGATTCACGGTGATAGTCGCTTTGGTCCGATTCTGGGTGATAGTCACTTTGGTCCGAAGATTCATGGTGATAGTCGCTTTGGTCCGATTCTGGGAGATAGTCACTTTGGTCCGAAGATTCATCGTGATAGTCGCTTTTGTCTGATTCTGGGTGATAGTCACTTTGGTCCGAAGATTCTGGGTGATAGTCGCTTTGGTCCGAAGATTCTGGATGATAGTCTTTTTAGTCCGAAGATTCTGGGTGATAGTCGCTGTGTTCCGAAGATCTTGGGTGATAATCGCTTTACTCCGAAGATGCTGGGTGATAGTTGCTTTGGTCCGACGATCTTGGGTGATAAACGCTTTAGTCCGAAGATGCTGGGTGATAGTCGCTTTGGATCCGAAGATTCTGGCTGATAATCACTTTTTTCCGAAGATGCTGGGTGATAATCGCTTTGTTTCTAAGTTCCTGGGTGATAATCTCTTTAGTTCGGAGATGCTGGGTTATAGTCGCTTTGTTCTAAAGATCTTAGGTGATAATCGCTTTAGTCGGAAGATGCTGGGTGATAGCCGCTTTGGTCCAAAGATTCTGTGTGATAGTTACTTTTTCCGAAGATGCTGGGTGATAATCACTTTGTTCCTAAGTTTCTGGGTGATAATCTCTTTAGTCCGAAGATGCTGGGTGATAGTCGCTTTGGTCCGAAGATTCTGGTTGATAGTCACTTTTTTTAGAAGATGCTGGGTGATAGTCGCTTTGTTCCAAAGATCTTGGGTGATAATTGCTTTACTCCGAAGATGCTTTGTGATAGTCGCTTTAGTTCGAAGATTCTGTGTTCCTTGAATTGATAATTTCGAAGAGGGATTTTGCTGTTTAGTGGAAAAGGGAGAATTTAATTTTTAATTGTAGGCGCCGATTTCTTACCACAAAAAAAAAACACACGGGACTGTATAACTTATTCGTTTTCGGGTTAGTCACTAATATGTTATTAAAATCCACTTCTAAGTTATGTCGGTATATTATTTCCGTGAAAGAATCAATCGCACCATGTTTGCTGACTCGGTCATGTCCTGCGATGACCTGATAGCCACCCTTCCAGAGTCATTTACCAGTTCGACCGATCAACTGCAAACTGGCGATTACCTCGTGGTAGACCACGCAGCTGCTGGGAGAACGTATGCGCCAGGATTAATCTGGCGCTGGAACGTGTTCAGACGTTTGGTCAAAACCGTGAGTGTTGGATGGACAAGGTCGATACTGTGAGCCCAGTGCATTCATGGCATGAGATTTAGCAGCAGCAAAGAGCCAATCACTAGCGCTGCCATTTTATCCGTCCAATATGGCTCTACATTCCTCACCAAAAATTACTGTTAAGATATCAGCTTTCATGTACTTCACGAACTGAAACTGTTCTCTTTGAGATTACTTACATTATTTACATTATTCGGACTGTTATCCTCATCTTCATTGCCATATTCAAAACGTTTCGGCCGTTGTACGTTCCAGATTCCATCAGGTGATTGGAATTTCAAACCGAACCCTTTATTTTGTCAACCGGAGTAGATCGTTCTAGTTCCACGTAACATGCCTCTTCCGGATGCCTCAGTTATTTCTCTTTAACTCAACTCTCCAAGTTTTGCTTCACCACAGCTGTGGCCTGGTACTGAACTCACAACTCATTGTGTCTAGTCACTGGATTCAACCAACGTCTTTATCTACTGGGCCATGTGTCCTCGAAATCCCAATCACCTGAAGGAGGCCGAAGCGAACAACGGCTGAAACGTTGTAAATATGTCAATGAAGATGAGGATAACAGTCCGAATAATGTAAATAATATAAATAATCATCATACTTCATCTCAGAGATATAAACAGATCTCTTTGTGACGTTTACTTAAAGCCGGTAGTTTGGTTAAATTTAGGTCTTTAGCTAATGTACTTAACATTTCGAGCCCTGACCACCACTTTACTGGTGGTAGAGAAAAATGACGTAATGCCCAGCCACCGGTTGAACAGTAGTAGGGAAATATGACTTAATATCCAGCCACCGATTGAACGTTGGGTAAACACTTGTAACTATTTTCATATATACCCTGAAACATTGCATACCAATTATTTGTGAAATTTGATTCAGAAGCTCAGGCAGAAGGGTTAAAATTGTTCAGGAACGCAGGGATCAAAGGGTTAATATTCTATATCTTTTTTCTCTGGTTACTCTTGCAACACTGGCTTAAAATAACTCAAATAATTTCTTGTTTAGTAACCATTTGATTTTTCTTAAATTCGTTTTGTGATATTCTTCAAATTAGTTTCTAGTTTTATCTTGACGATGTTTTCAATTTATTTTTTTTAAATTGTTCTGTGTCCTCTGTTCAACATTTTTCGTTTTTTTAACGTTGTTCCTGATTTACGGCTATATAAAGTGAAATTACGAATCTCGTACGATCAATGAAGTTAAGCAATGTCGACCCAGGTCAGTGATTGCTTAGGAATACCAGGTATTGTAATCTTGGATGTGCGAGTGGTGTAATGGATAATGGCTCGGAATTGCTAATCGGAGAGCTGAGATCCAATTCCACTTGTGTTGGTTATATATCCGTACGATCACAAAAGTTAAGCAACGTCGAACTTGGTCAGTACATAGATGGGTGAGTGTTTGGGAATACCAGGTGCTGTAATCTTGGATGTGCAAGTGGTGTAATGGATAATGGCTCGGAATTGCTAATCGGAGAGCGGAGTTCGTCATATTCCTTTACGCGCAAATACCCTTGGAAAAAGGTATGAATCCACCTTTTCTCTTCCTAGCTATGGGTTAATTAGCTAAACTTGTATCACTAAATTATTATTATTATCTCCCTCAAAATTTAAAAATATATGCTCGCTTTAAATGACCTGCAAAAGGTTGACAAGCCGTAAAAAAACAAATTAATAAATCAACGGTGTTTCAATCACTCAATATGTTTACAAAAACTTGTTTCTATTTGGTAGTTATATTGTTCATACGACCTTCACAATTTCTATATATGAAAAAAAAAAACTATAAAAAACCTGTGTATATATATATATATATATATATATATATATATATATATATATATATATATATATATATATATATATATCATATTATATTATATTATATTTTCAGTTTGATGGAAAATCTTAATGGAATAATAACATCTTATACCACAAATAAGTTACTGTATATGTTTCATATAAAACAGATATTATACGATGAAAATCCTATGGTATATCTTACGTATTAATATCAAATATATTCTGAAACTTTTAAAACATTTATCAATTAATACTGATTTTATTGTGAAAACGTTTTCTTTCATAATTAAAGCGTCTATCTATCTATCTATCTATCTATATATATATATATATATATATATATATATATATATATATATATATATATAAGTCAAGAAGAAAACCTTAAAGATTCATTTCGGTTATAATCTATTTCGTGAATATCTCTTTAGACCGAAAACTTTTAGCAAATGGAAACAATTCCTCGAACTGATATTATTAGATTGACGGGGGGGGGTAGGGAAAACGAGATAGAAGAGAAGAAAGGAAAAAGAAAAATGACGGATGGTCAAGTTCTTTTCAAAATTAACATGTTTTTTTAAATTAACATCTTTTCAAAATTAACATCTTTTTTAAATTAACATCTTTTTTAAATTAACATCTTTTCAAAATTAACATCTTTTTTAAATTAACATCTTTTTTAAATTAACATCTTTTCAAAATTAACATCTTTTTTAAATTAACATCTTTTTTAAATTAACATCTTTTTTAAATTAACATCTTTTTTAAATTAACATCTTTTTTAAATTAACATCTTTTTAAATTAACATCTTTTTTAAATTAACATCTTTTTTAAATTAACATCTTTTGTATTATTATCCATACATCATCTTACTCAGTTTTTTTTCTTTTCCCCCTTTTTTTTTATTATTTATCTATATTTAAAATCCCTTCATTTATGTTTAAAATTTTTATCATTATTGTAATTTTCATTTATCTATTAATTGTATTAAGGGTCATTTTATTAGACTAACTAATTTAAAAATGTGTTGATTTGTCCTGCCTAAAATAACAGGTCATATCAGTCAATTTGCTGTATAAGCCAATGTACAA